GAGAACAACGAGTTGATTTTCATATTTTAATGAATATGCTTCACAAATGGGTCTGGCTCTTACTATCACAGAGGGCCTGCTCACCCAATATCGTCTGGCAAATGTCATTTTTCACTCTGAACTTTCTATCAAGTCATCTAAATTAGTATTTCCCCAAATTTTGCTTTTAGGACATAGCATCAAATTTCCAAAACTGAAGGTCGGATCTCAGAGGTATTTATGCCCTCACCCACAGTGACTGAAATGGTATGTGCACTATACACGACACACATTCATATACGCAACACGCTCACCCGCTCACCCACTGTCACCAGCCCCTCTGAGCCTCATCACCACCTCCAGCCTCCCAGGCAATGAGTGATGAAGAATGTGAGGTCCCCTGGGGAGCCTTCACAACACACGGTACACCTGAACTGAGCGGTTATAGCCCGGCATTCAGGAAAAAGCCCCGTGAACTGTGGCGCCTTCCTCTGCCATAGGAAACGCCGGGCCTCACTGCCATGTGAATCTAGACACCGATTTAGGGTCAAAGACCCATGCCTTTGTCATAGAAGAGATGAGAAAATCATGGAGGACATCGTTCTCCTGCCCTGGGCAAATTGGGGCTCCCAGGAGGTAGCTGGGCGGAGTGGGTGAGCGGGAATTCTGGAAGCTAGCTCTGACCAGACCGTTCACTTTCCCTCTCAGCCTCGGTTCCCTCAGCTGGAAGGTAGGGATAAATAATACCTCTAACACAGGGTAGCCATGAACTTTATGCTTTTAAGTTTTACGGTCTTTATTTGTTTAAAGAAATCAAACCATATATAAAACTATGAGGAAGAAAATAATAACAATCCTTAGCGTCATTGTCATCGTCTGAAGTCCTCACGCCTTGAGATCGCTGCCTCCAACATTCGGAAGAATGAACCCATAAAAGAGAGTGGCTCTTTTATGAGCTCATACATCACTGTGTTTCAGGCAGATCAAATGATAAATTTTATTAGACGCTTAGCACGGGTTTGGCAGGCAGAAGCAATCACCAGGTTGGGAGACAGTTATGTGGAAGCAGCTTAGAATTGGGAGCAAGGATACGGGGGTTCAGGTCCAGCTTCTCCCCCTGACAGGATGAGTCATTTGGAGCAAGTCCTGCAGCCGCTGTTCGTGTATCTCTCCATTTATATAATGAGATAATGACACTTGCTTTGTGACAGCGGCTTTGGGATCAGGCTGGCCTGGATTTGAGTCTTGGCTCCGCCACTTACTAGCTATGTGATTTTGGGGCAAGTTTGGTTTTTAACCCTGTTAGCCTTGGTTTTCTCACACAGAAAATGCTATTAGCAGCCTGCATCCCGGGGGTTCACCAGGGATGAAGTACACATGGCACTTAGCACAGAGGTTGGCTACAGCAGCTAGCCAGTAACTGCCAGCAGGTAGCAGAAGCCACAGCAGTGACAGTGACGACATCAGCGGTTCACGGCATTATTGTCAGAATAAAGTGAACAATGCCAGTGAAAAGTTTTGAAAAGTGCTTTGCAACTATTTGTCATTATTACCCCTGTCAGCTAATGGTATATGTGCGTGGCTGTTTTATAAGAAAACCTATGAATCACCATATTTCTTGCCCAGCAAAAAGTGTAAAACAGCCGGAGGGATTTTAGGATCACTGTCAGGGTAACAGCATTAACCTTTCAATTTAAAGCTCCCCTCATTTTTCATTTATTCTTTCCACAAATACCCATCTAACATTCACTGTTTGAAAAGCGTTTTGCCAGTTGCTTTGAAGCTAGCCCTGGTGGTCTAGTGGTTAGGATTCTGTGCTCTTACTACTGCAGCCTGGGTTTGTTTCCCAGTCAGAGAACCACACCACCTATCTGTCGATTGTTATACGGTGGCAGCTGCCTGTTGCCGTGACATGAAAGCTATGCCACCAGTATTTCAAATACCAGCAGAGTCACCCATGGTGGTGGGTTTCGGTGGAGCTTCCAGACTAGAAAGAGCAGGAAGGAGGACCTGGCCATCCACTTCTGAAAGAATTGGCCATGAAAACCCTATAAATAGCAGCGGAGCATTGTCTGATACAGCACCAGAAGGTGAGAGAATGGTGCAAGGAAACCAGGCAGGGTTTCGCTCTGCTGTGCACAGGTCTCTAGGTGTCAGAATCCACTCGATGGCACTAACAATGGAAAGTTGCTTCAAAGGCTGTGGGTAGGACTCAAACCTCGCCTCTCGTCCAAGCCCTGTTCTGGACAGCTGATGAATGTTCCTGGTCTCATCAGCCCCCACAATAGCCACGAGGGGTTGTTGATCCAGATCCCATCTTACAGATGAAGGAAATAGGTGCGTGGAGAGGAATCTGCCCCAGGTCACAGAGCTGGGAGGAGGAGCACCTGGGAGTCAGTCTTTGAGCCCGTGGCCTTTGCACCCCATCGTACGGAGACTCCTGATGGAGCACCCTTGGCTGTGTGTGTTAGATCCAACAGCCTGACGCACGGCGCCTACAGGGTCAAAACCAGACCGTGGCAGGAGCACTTTCTGAGCCTCTGTGATCTTTAAAGAGACGTATTTTTTTCTTCTCTACACGAAAAATAAAAGGTACTACAAGGCAACCAAGATAAGAATTCAAAACACCAGTTGTGACATTTTTCAAATTTTGACTTCAAAATATTTCCTTCTGACTGACAGCCCATAAAAGCCCACTTTGGGGTTGAGTGTAATTCATCTCCATATTTTGAGACTGGTACAAACTCATCCTCTCGCAGCCTGGCAGTCGGCCGTTCTGCAGCCGCTCCCACCTCCATGTCTTAGTGTTCGAAACGCAAAATGGAAGCAGGGAATGGAGGGGAATATAATCCTTGCCCAGAGACCTGTGTGTAGCCCTTGGAAGCTGGGGGCGGCACAGGACAGTGGAGAATGGGATCATGCAGGATCTGAATGCCAAAACCAGCTCCACCACCACCAGCTATGTGTCAGAGACCCAAGCCCTTAGCGACCCTACATTTTCCCATTTGTGAAGCGGGAAGAATGGAAGTGACAAAGATGTCCTGCTAAACATTTAAAAATGTAAAAGTCATTTGTAAACTATAAAGCACTTTAAAGATAGAAGGATAATTATTATTATTGTTGTTATTACCAGTATCTGCATGGATGCCATGATGCTCTATTTGCCATTGGCACAGTCAGATACACATCTTGAGCCAAAGCACAAAGCTACCTCCTCAGCCTTGCGGTAACTGTGCTGCTACATGCAAGATGTGGAGACTCCCTCCTTCCTACGTGGGAAGTGCCAAAGGTTAAAGGTCAAATCTGTCTCCTCTCCTAACCTCATACTAACCCTTTGCTACACTACTGAATTTTACAGTGGGCAGGACCTTGTGGGAACCCACCTGAGGTTGCCTGGTTCCTGACATGGCAAGATGTTTCTGGAAAAGTTTCCCTGCTCCATGGAGTGCAGGGTTGTGGTGAGGATTCTGCATCAAAAGGAACCTACACCCTGTCCATCGCCAACCCGATAGCCTGTTTACAGCTTGCTGCTTCTCCATGCCTTTTGCAGGATGTCAGTTGGCTCCCATGTCCAGTGGGCGATGGACTGGCAGATCTCAGAGTGCCTTTCTCCTGATATCCTCTGTTCTCTGTTCTGTGTATGAGGGTTCTTGCCCACCTACTCCATCCTCAGGGGAGAAAAGAGGCTGGCACCCAGGGCAGCCACGACTCCAACCTAAATCCTGCAGCTCCTCCCTTCTCACTGCTCGTCCCTCCCACGTCAGGCACCAAGTGGTCGGACCTGCTTATGTTTCTCCTCCTGTGGCGTGAAGCCCGGGTGGTAAATGGACCATAGTCCGGCTCTGGGGCTGACCGGCTGTGTGACAAGTTGCTCAGCCTCTCCGCACCTCAGTTTCCTCATCTGTAGAAACGGATAATAATAGCACCTACCTCACGGGGTTATTGAGCAGAATAAGCGAGAACAATGCCTGAAAATGTTAAGCATCAAGTTTGGCACGTGTAAATTCTTAATCAGTGTGAGCTGCTGCTGTTATTACTATAGCATCTTCATTGTCGTCATCATCATCATCATCATTAGGCAGAGTTCAGTCAGAGAAGCAGAAACAACAAGAGACAGCTGATAGCTTTACTATGTAGCTGTTATATATATACATGGATTTATTATAATAAATCAGCTTATGCAACTGTGGAGGCTGGCTGAGTGAATGCAAGGTCTATAGGGCAGTCGAGCAAGGATCTTGAGTAGGCTGGAGTCCCCTGGGCATGAGCTGAGGCTTCTGGGTTCAGGGCCCTTCCCTGGGCTCAGCCCTCTTGTCACAGTATAAGGATACCGGCTTCTCCCTGCCCTGACTTAGAGCTGTGGGTTCACGACTCATCTCTGTGTTCCTAAATTTCTCTGAGTGCCTGGCACAGGGAGGGGCTTAATCCTCCTTTGCTAAATGGAACAGACCCAAGGGCTGTCACCCAGGCCTGAGGAAGACTGGCTTTCTCTGCCTGCCACTCAGGGTGCAAACATCCCAACACCATGGGGGAGCCTGGGCTGGAAAGGTCACATGAAATTATTTCTGTGTGGGAGCACGTGGCCCTTCTGGGCTCATTAATAGGAGTGGGGTGGACAAAATGGGAGTGACCGTGGAAGGCACTCAGCTCCTCCAGCTGACACATCGCTTCGCTGTGTCTGCAGAGCGGTTGCCAAATCTGTGGCTCATAGTTGGGGAGATGTTAGTTCAAAGCCCACTAGTCTTAAGGAAGAAATGTAAATTGGAATTGTTAATGTTGGGCTGATTTTGTCACCAGAAGAAGGGACCAGGGAGCAGGGCTCAGGACAGCCTGATGTGCCCATGGCACAGGCAACCTATACGGGAGGGCCACCTTCCCCAAGAGGCCAAGATGGGCCTGAAACTTATGTCCTTCTGGGGCCCTCCATTAAGAAAAAGAATACCCAATAAAAAATACAAAATGAAATGCAAATGTGAGAAAAAACAAGAAAAATGTGAGAAAAAAATAAGAATGGGAAAATATCACAACAGACTGTAAATTTAAAAATAGCTGACAAATATTGCAAACACAGTAGCCAGAAAAATAAGAATCTTTTCACTAATTAGCTGCTTGACCCACCTCTATAATACTTTTTTCCTGCGTTGTGTGGCTGCATACTCTGTGATTGCCTCTTCACGGGGCAGCAGTCTTGTGATATAATTTTCTTAAGAGTGAATAGAAATATAATTTAGCCTTTTGTTTACCATGGTTGATCATAAAAGGTAGTATTGAGAGTTGGAGTCATCAAACAGTGTTGTGACATTGTTTGCAGTTCTGCTACATTCTTGGGCCTCACAAGTTCAGGGGTTCTGATCAATTCTATTTTGCATGACTCCAATCGGAAAACAATAGAAACATATGGTGCATAATGGTACAAATGTATTAATGTGCACACTGACACATTTCTGCAAGGAGGAAACGTCCGTTTGGACCAGGCATCAGTGAAAACTGAATCTTTTTCCACGTCTCATGACTGGAAGAACTTTCCGTAGGCTAGCTCCAGCTCTGTGCATTTCATGCCTGTTTCTCCTCCGTGACGCACATCGCCTTGGGTGCTATAGGACCCACTCACGTTATTATGTGCCCCAGCCCTGCAACTCACGTGACCACATCCAGGGAGCTGGTATGATGGGCAGTAGGGGTGTCCTGAAGCCATTCCTACGCCAGAGTGGCTAGCAATATTTAACTCTGCACAGAAGTGACTCAAATCCGTCTAGACGTATCCCATTAAACCCAAAATAAATGTATCCAAAATGCAACCTCTCCTCAGCTAGCCAGATGCCAAAACTGCCCAAACTACTCGACACGCTCGACATCAAGGGAAGTGTGACAGAGAAGTCAGCGTGGAAGGACAACCGTCCTAACCGATTGCCATGAAATATTTCACTTTCGTAAATTTTACCAAAACACGTGACCACATTGCTAGGGCTTTTCAGGAACTTGGAGGGAGCCCATACAACTGAGCAGTCCTTTAGGCAGCTGAAATGCTGTACACACACGCAGACACACACGCAGACACACACTTAGTACAGGACATAATCCTCTGCTGAATCTCACAAATAAAGCCGGTTTCCATATCTGCAAAATGAGGATAATGGTATTTTATTGGGCAAATTAAGAGTGTTGTGAAAGTGTTTATCAGGATGCTTGGGCCACAGTGAGTGATCGGTAAACGTCATTAAGGATCGCTTCTGTGAGACGCCGCTACCTCCCACGTGCTCAGTGGGACTCCTCTTGTCCCGTCACAAGCACTGGGCACAAACTCCTTCCAGCTGTGACGTCTTCATCTTGCCGCTGCTTCACCTGTCACTCTCCATCACAAGTTGGGGTCCCTGTTGGACTTTGTCCAGCTTATCTTTGAATCCCCAGCACCTATCGCAGAGCGCGGCATCTTATAGAAGCTCAAAAGATGTTTATTTTCTTCCCCTCTTCCTCGGACCCAAGAAGTGTGATGATTGACTCCGTTGGTAACGTATTGCTCCGCCCCCTACTTGGCCTTTTATTACATGTGAATATTCTCCCATCTGCTCACACTAGAGCGGGCACTAGGATTCCCATCTCCCTTCCTGCTATAGGTACCGCCACAGGGTGGGCCCAGGTTACACACGTCACCTGCGGGCGGGCCCTGTATGTCCACAGAGAGCACTTAGCCGGCAACAATGGCTGCCTCCAAGAAGGCACCGTAGCCCTGGCCTCTGGGGCCTTGCAGAAGGCAGACAATCTTTCCTCCAGGCTGCTTTGGAAATAATTGCTGCGATGGGAGACAGTAAGTGTTTCAATGGGGAAACTGCCTTTGGTGCATGTGCTCCCTGCTGTTGGCTCAGTCTCTCCTGGATTCGTCACAAGTACCTCAGAAGTACCCGTTATCAGATGTGCAATGAGAATGGCATCTGCAAATCAGTCTTATCCATCCGAGAAAGCCAATTTTCCAAAGACATCCAATTAGCAACTCTTTGCTGAATTAGCTTGTATTGCAGTATGAAAGCATGGGTTTGAGAAGAGTAAAACTAACCTGCCTTTGACAGTGGGCCACACTTCACACTTCTCACTAATTCAGACTGCATTCATGCAAAATGACTCTTATCCATTTTTGCCCCAATTTGCTGTTGGGCCCAAAGGGTGACTTGTCTACTCCCCCCTAAGCCTCCAGCCTCCACCTTCACTCCCACTGCAGCAAAATGACCCCGAGCTTAGGACTCAAGATGGGGTGGCCAGGATTCCCGTGAACCGTTGGCAATGAGTAATGAAGGTTTCCTTGACTGCAACAAAATGGGAAAAATAAAGAAAGAGCAGTGAATTTTCACAAAATGAAATGTGTTCAATTTAAAAGACCATTCTTTTTATGAGATGAAAACCTCCTTAATTGGGTGTGTATTAAAATGTCCTTTTTATGTGAAGTGATGGTGATGGCAGATAGTAAGTTTTTCAAGAGCAAAATAAAAAATTGATCCCCAATGCCATCTTCACTTTTTTACTAATATCATTTTCCTAGTTCTTGATGTCTAGAAGTCTGGGAATCTCAATTTGAACTTGGAGTCCAGGCCACCCTTGCCTGTACTCTGCCCGCTCCGTCTGGGAGTCCCAGAGAGAGGAGGTCTGAGACATTGCCCAGCGTTCCAGGTCCCTGTGCATTCTCACAAAGGGTAACCCAGGCCTCACCTTCTGTGTCTGGGTCACATTTATGGCCCTTGAACCTGCCAATGAGTCAGACATGTTTCCCCACGGCCTGGTACTCTGCCTGGTCTATTTAACACAGTCAAATCGGTGTAAGCTTGGGTCCTCCAGAATCTGCAATTTGGAATTTTTCATAGAAAAAGTAATTTGAGAGGACTTTTAGACCACTGGTCTAAAGACCATCCCTGTAAAACTCTAATCTCCTAGTTCCAGGCTTTGGGCCTGACCCCAGGTGCGCCACATGCCACTCACAGGTCAAGTGATACGTTTGGTACTCTGTTCTCTCCAGTAGACGGTTCCTGCTGAGTTCCTGCCAAGGGCATCTCTAGAGATGGCATGGCACAGAGTCAGGTCCACACTTGGAATAACTGAATGACATTCTTATGGATCATCACACACGGAAGGGGCTTTGTGTGACAGGCCGATCTGTGTTCTTCTTGCTATTTCCCCTAAAGCCTTTACATCATGGTTTTAATGTCTGTCGTGTCTACGTATTACCTTTACCAAAAACTTGTTGGCACAGCTCCACTTTTGGTGAATGGGCACAAAGGGGAGTGACTGCCCTCCTTGGCCCCGCCTCGTTTCCTCCCACCACTGCCCTCCATGGCTGCCCACCTCGTCCCACCCACGCCATCACCTGCACTCTCTCCAACCTCACCCAGGACCAATGGCAGCGACAGTGTTGATCCTAGTGTTCAAGAAAGCAATTCCAGGAAACGCACATTCAGACCCTCGAGCAAAGCAAGAAGCCAGCCATTTAGCAATGCCGTGGAGGGGACCCTGGGGCCCCTTCTCAGGGGTGAAGATTAGACGGAGCGACTGCTAGTAAATGCTTTGAACACAGGCAGTTTGGTAAACAGGGCTGGGAGCAAGGTTCAGGACGATGGAAACTCCCCCCCTCCCCCCCCCCCCAGCATGATGGATGTCACTCTCTGTGCCCTGAGCTGCCTTTTGGGAACAAGTTCACCATCATGCCTCTCCTAAGATGCTGATCGTTGCCCCCATCCTCACTCACCCTGTGCCAGGCCCTTCACACACATTATCTTTTTATCCCCATTTTGCAGATGAGAGAACTGAGGCTCAGAGCAGTTAGACAACGTGGCCTGGGCCACATGGCTGACAGAGGATAGAGCCCAAGAGTCAAATCCAGACAGCTGGCTCGTAACCCTTAAGTCAACGGCCTCCCTGGCCAAGCAGGCCTGCTCCCTGCAGGGCCCGCCTGCCCTGCCCTGCTCGGAGCTCCCCACTCCTGGCAAGGGGATCCCTGGCACCTGCATTCTGTGCACAGTGTCAGCTACTCGCTTCCAGACTCCTGAGGGGCTGCAGCTGCCTGGCTTCCTCTATTACATACCCTGCCCCAGAGGGGTGGGGTGTGTGCTTTGCACTGTTGTCCTGAGTGGGGATGGGGTTGCACCTGTTTGCTCTCACTTGTGAGCTGGGGACACTCTGGCCACACGAGACAGGCACTGGTGGTGAGAGAATTTTGGAGGGATGCAGTGTATCTCGTCAGCCCCCTGTGGTCTGTCCCCAAGGGAGGCAGCACAGCCTGGCAGTTCAGAGCACGGCTGCTGTAGCCTGGGATGTTCTGTTACCCCTCGTGGTGGGACATCATGTGATTCAGTCATTCTCTGGACAACAGGTTCCTCGCCTATAGAACTAGGCAGACCTGCTCCCTAGGGCTGTGGGAGGATTAAATGAGTTGGAATAGGAAGGCATCTGCAGAGGGTCTGGCGTGCAGTAAGCATTCAGTACATTTCAGCTGTTGTTATTGTTATTTTCTTAGTGCTGTTGAGTCAATGCCAACTCCTAACGACGCTGTGGACAGCAGAGCAGAACCCTGCCTGATCCTTTTTGCGCCATCCTCTCACCTTCCTGTGCTATATCAGACAAGGCTCCGCTGCTATTCACAGGGTGTTCATGGCCAATTTTTCAGAAGTGGGTGGCTAGGTCCTTCCTCCTAGTCCATCTTAGCCTGGAAGCTCCACTGAATCCTGTCCACCGTGGGTGACCCTGCTGGTATTTGAAATCCCGGTGGCACAGCTATCAGCATCAGGGCAACATGCAGCCGCCACAGTATGACAATTGACAGAGGAGTGGTGTGCTTTTCTGACTGAGAAATGAACCCAGGCCATGGTGGTGAGAGTGCTGAATCCTAACTATTAGATCAGCAGGGCTGTAATATTATAATCATTCCATTAAACCCCCTTTTGTTGGATAATCCATCCCTCATTTTTGCTTCAGGATGTAGAACTTTCTGCATCTGCCTATTGCCCCCTGAACCCTCCCCGGACCCCCCAGCCCAAGGATCCTGGGGAGAAGCTAAGTTCCTGAGGCTTGTTGGCCAGGATGGCCGAAACCCCCGGGTCGGCTGCGTTCTTCATTCTGAGCACGAGACAGAGGCTGAGCTGGCTTTGTATCTGACTGAACTGATTAAGCTGCACGTTAACTGTGGATAAAGCGTCTTACCGAATAACTAGGCTTCTGCTGAGCCAGAATGATAAATTCATTCTTAGTGCATTGATAATAAAAAGAGATTTTTCCCCCCTTCTTTGAGTTTCCAGGGGCTTCAGGGCTCTATCTGTGTTGAACACTGCCATCTACAGGACATCTGGAGAATTGCACCAGGGCAGAAACAAATCGCTTTTTAAGGAACATCAGAATTTACACAATCCATAAAAGCTCAAAGCAGACACCCTGGGAGGCCAAATGTGTTTACAAAATGACTGCCAGTAGTTACTTATCACCCTGGGAATGGCATCCTTCTTTGATTGCATGGCCCTGCTGCATGGCTCAGTTATTCCCGTGACTCTTTTATCAAAAGTGGTTTCAGCGCCTGTGACAATATTGGGGCTTTTTATTTTGAGCACCTACTGTGTGCTAAGCACCACACTAGCACTGAAGTAATACAGAAATGAGTAAGCATGACTGTGCCCTTGAAATGCCAGTGCAGGAATAAATGAAATAAGGACGAGATGACTTATAAATAAGTCAGAGTAACCTAGTGTCCTATACAGGTGGCTATCCACAGAGCAGAGCCTCGTGGGGTTCAGAGGAATGGGAAAAGGGAGGGACTAACGCTTCCTGAGTATCCACCATGAAGTCTGCACATTCTCTGACTTAACATGGACTCTTACCCTGTGAGACTAGATAGGGGTTCCCATCTTCCAGATGAGGACCTGGAGGCTCAGAGAGGTTAAGTCACTTGCCTGATGTCGCCCAGCTGAGTGGTGAAGAAGTGAGAATTCCATTCCCTACCCGGCTGACTCTAAAACTTGTTCTATGCTCCCAGGTGGCCTATTGAAGAAGGAAAAGAAATTTGTGGGGGAATCGACTCCTGAATTATCCCAGTGGTGGCAAGTGTTTATCCCCAGGAGGTGAATCTGATTTTCAGGAATACCCAAAAATCTTTCTGGGCCAAGTCATTCAATGGATAATGGGATTTGAGGTTTAAAAGAAGAGTGTGCCTCTAAGGCATGAAAATTGTTTTACGCCTGTCCGCTGATAAACTGGCTGAAAAGTGTTTCTCGAAGTCTGTAAACAGACAGCAGCATGGGGATGAGGGCGGCTGGCATGGCGACGCTCTGACGAGGGCGTGTTCTCTTGGGTGCATTGGGCCCAGTGTGTTCAGCGTTGATACTCTCCTTTCTTACACTCACCTTCCAGTTCTGAGGCAGGTACATGTTTCACAAGTACTCACCAAGAATCTCCAGACTCTTCATTTCCTCCCCAAGACCTCCAACAAGAGCAGCTCACCTCCGTCTGAGAAAGGAGGAAACGGGCTTGAGATGAGGGATTCCCCCACTAGGTAGCTCGGCCAGTCAGCATTGATGACAATGGGACATGGAGGACACACAGCCTCAAACTCCCCATCCTCCTCCTATTGCCCAGGGATGGACTTACAGAGTAAGGGAATTGATATTGCCCTCCTGGGAAGACCCACTTCGGCACACACCCCATCGTGGAAATGAGAGTTGGTGGAGCAGAGCAGAGTCAGTGTGAGGGAGTGGACAGAAAAGAGGTAACCATGGAAGGCTTCTTGTAAGAGGTGGTGCCAAAGTCCACTTAGGGGAGGAGAGGAGCAGTTGGTACCACATAGTTGTCTTATTATAATAACCCCAAACCAGGTACCTGAGAGGACTTTTAATGATGTCACAAAGAAAATTTGTATGCGAGGGGTGACCTTTTTCCCAGTTTGTACCTGATCTGTATCTTCCTTCTCCAGTCAAAGGGAGCAGGCCAGGAAACATCCCTCCCACTGCCGCACAGCAGGCTGGACTCAGGCCTCCAAGTGGCAATTATAAAAGCTCTCTATGGGCGAGATCCAGTCCATCCATGATCGGAGATGGACCTCAGGCTGCAGCCCATTTATTCAAATGGATGCATCACAATGGGTGGTGGAGTGGGAGGGAGGAGGAGATTTTCCTTGACTGTCACATTTCCAGGGACCACATCATGCTGGTCATGACAAGTCCTAGAATAAGTCCCCACAACTTTACCCCAGAATCCCAAGATACTCTTGGCTGCCTTCATCATGACGTGTTATGAGGTACAGAGGAAGGCACTGAATGATGATGAATGATGATAAATGATGACGATGGCTTGTACGCATGCTCCTTTCCCATCCGTCTGTTCATTCAGTGATTCAGGCGGGGGCTGGGGGGAGGGTACAGGCAAAGGCCCAGAAGGGGAAAAGCGCAATTCATTCAAGGATGGCTGGAGGATAGAAAGTGAGGCAGGTGGTGAGAGATGACCCCCTAAGGGGCCAGCACGGGGCCAGCTCATGGGGGGCAGACATTGACCTGCTGGTAATGGAAGTCATTGCAGGGTTCTCTGAAGGGGAGCCACGCAATCATATTACTGCTTGGGGAAGATCCCTCAGGCTTCGCGTGGATAATGGAAGGGAGGGGACCAGACTGAGACAGGAAGTCACCCAGGGAGAGATGAAGAGGCTGAACTAAGCCAGGGGCAGTGGACAATGTTACTCTTTTATTATTATTATTATTATTATTATTATTATTAATAATAATAATAATAATAATGGTGGTCCTGGGCTAAGCCACAAAGTGGAGAGAATCACAAAACTCTAAGTTTCTCAGACGACTAGAGCCCAGAGAGGTGTTTTGCCTAAGGTCACAGAGTGAGTGTGTGAAAAAGCTGCCGACAGTGCCCAGGCCCCTAATTCCTAACCAAGGACTCATGGGATCCCCCAGCCTCTGCACTTTGCTTCAGCCCCTCCCTCCACTCATGTCAGCACTGCTCCTTTGACCTCATTCTACAGAGGAGAAAACAGAGGCGCAGACATGGGGGGTTTCCAGGCCCGAGGCCCGCAGCCCTACAGCAGTTGTCTATCTGAATTTCAGATTTAGCTGGATGTCCTATATTTTATCTGGCAACCCGACCCTATAGGAATCATCGAAGGCCCAGCCCAGGGCACTGCCCAAAAGACAGCATGGAGGAGGTGACCTTGGGTGAGACCCACCAATAGGAGGAGGTGGATGGTGGATTGTGGCTTCTTACAGATGCAGCTCCTTCTGCCGGGGACACTTTCCCACAATACACACACACACACACACACACACACACATACACACTATTGGACCCGTGCATGCATTCTGCACTGACAGACCTCCTGTTATTTCTCACATACTTTGCATTCACAAAACTCCTCCTGTTGTTAAGAAATGCTTCCTTGTTAGTTAGCCCTGATGTGTCACCGCTCATACTCACAGAGCGCCAGCCCCAGGAAGACAGACACGGCCATACTCCCTGTGCCTGGGGGTCAGAGACAGGGTCTGCTGTGGTTCTGCCATGAACTTGCTGTGTGCCACTTCAAACCGTCCTTGCTGTCCCTCTCCTGCCTCCCCCAGGTCTGGGTGGGATTGCTGCCAATCCTTGGACACTATGCTAAGGTTGCACCGTGGCTTTCTGAGCTTTGTTCATTGGGACACATCTCCATGGGTTCTCCATGCTCCTGGATTAAACTACCAGAGACTGTCTCATTAGCATGGATTCCCTCACCCCGGAAACCCACTAAAGATCCCTAATGAACCAGAGGCTGCATATTCCATGAAGAAAATACCATGGTACCCAGGAAGAACGAAATTTGCCAAATTGTCAGATGGCTGACTTGGCTGGAAAAAACCCTGGAGATACCCAATCCAGGGATGGCACACATGGCAGACACTGCTGGGTTCCTCCCAATATCCAGTTTCCACTTCTCTACTAACAGAATCCTAATTTTTTTGAAGGGTAGAAATGGATCTAGACAAATGCTTACTTCTCCAGACTCCCCTTCAGCTAGGGAACACCACGTCATATAATTCTGGTCAATGAGAGGTAAACAGAAGTCTGCTAGGAATTCCTGGGAAATGTTTTGCTTTCCAGATACAGATTTGTTCCCTTCTCCTTTCTTTTTCTTGTTTACAACGGCAGTGGGAGACTGAGGTGGCGCAGCCATCTTACAATGAGCTATGGGAACAGTAACAATCACAGCCCTTTTGTGAAACAATCTCAGCCACCCACAGATATTGCCCAAGGCAGACATCACAAATCAATCACAGCACTCTCTCCCAATGAACCCAGACGTGGCTGCCTCAGAATCTCATTCATCCCAGAGCCCCAAGCAGCCACTACCAATCAATCAAAGTTGACCTTTGTGTGGAATCCATGAGCCGTGTGGGATCTAACCCAAACCTTCCTTTGACCCATCATTTTGAATAAAAATGAGGCTCGGGAGGAAAAAGGGATGTTCTGAAATAATGAATTAGTGTCACAGCCAGAGCTGGAAGCCAATTTCCTGACTCCGGATAGCCTGATGCAGTGGGAGGAATATGAGTTTGTGGGCTGGGGAGCCCACAATTCTTATCCCGACTGTCCCACTTCCTGTCTGTGTGACACCGAAATGTCACCTCACCTCCCTGAGCTTTAGTTTTCTTAACTGCAACATGGAGATGATGCTGCAGACCTCACGGGACGGTGGTGAAGACTAATCTGTGAAAGAGAACTGAGCTTAAGGGACGGTCCGTCCATCTTGGTGAGTTTCTTCTCTTTTTCCTTCCCCTTCCCGATTCCACCGAAAGTGGCCAGAATTAGAAAAACATAACTAAGAAATGAGGACAGAGATTGGTCTGATTTCCTCAAAATGAGCTATGCTCACTCCCAACCTGCCGCCCCCATGTGTGAATTTGTGACTCTGCCAAAAGCTGGCATGAGCTCATTCGCCGCTCAGCTGGGCAGCGGGCTCCCTGCCTGGGGAGGTTTAAATGGCAAGCCGGGGTGTGAAAAGTTATTGGGGAAGAAATAGCTCTCCCCTTATTGCCATTGCTAGTCTCCTGACCACCCCCATCCTCCGGAGTGATCACAAAGGCAGTTAAGTGTACGCTAAAAAAAATAGTAGTTAAATTCTCAGTATCACTTTCTGAAACGTATTCAACTAACTCCTATGCAGTTTAAACTTAGTAGACAACAAAGTTAAAAATTATTTTTAACAAAAAAGATCATCCGTTGTAGTGTGGCAGGAATTAGAAGCACCTGGCTGCACACGAGCTAGATGCTCTTCAGGTGGGTCTTGAGCCCTCCTCAGTGTTCCCATCCACCACCGGGGGAATGACAGCAGCTACCATTATTAAGCACCTGCTGTGTGCCAGGTACGATGCTAAATTCTTTATATATCTTGTTTCTTTTAATCTGCTCCCACCCCAACAACCTCCTTTGGGAGGAAGTATTGCTACCCATTTTTCAACTGAAAAAGGTTAAATAACTTCAACAAGACCGTGTAGCCAGTAAGGGACCGAGCTGGGACTTGAATCTGAGCCTCAGTGGTCCAGAGCCCAGGCCCTCCCAGCCTGCCTTGTGAGACAGGTTTTGGGATTCATTTTGAGAATGTGGGTAAAGTGCCTGGCATGCCTGGAGCCCAGGAAACATGAGTTCTCCTTCTTTTTCCCCTTCTACAGTCGAGTTTCAAGTGGCGCAGACACGGGTGCATAAAAGTGACCTCTAATTGCTGATCTGAGCGACAGCTCCCTGAGAACGTTTGCTGGGTATGACACAGAGATAGGAAAGGGCCCCGCAGACCTCCCAGAAGTTCAGCCCTCAGGCAAAACCAGCTCACATGGCACCTTGAAAAATGCTAACGGGAGTTCTATGGGGCCTCAGCTTGCATTCAATTTCCACCTGTGGGCACAGGCCGAAGGATCATCCAAACAAAGGAAGGAGAATGAGATGGAAACAAGATATGTTATGTAGATGCAAAGTGAGAGAGAAATGCAGGGTCACAGAGAAGCAGGGGAGGGGGCTGCGGCGGGAAGGCAGGGCGTGGTAGAAGAGAAAGAGCCCAGGGTCCCACCCAGATCCGATCCAGGCGGCACTTCTGACTCTGCCCCTTACTCAGTGACCTGGGACGAATGAGTCCACCTCTCTGGTCCTCGGTTTCCACATCAGTAGGTTGAAGACTAGTGATAATTCCCTCGTTGTTGGGGCTGGTATTTACCCGCAACGCACTGGAAGGGGCTACTGGCCTGCATCCTTTCTGAACGCTCAGTCTCATAACTGCCATCATCAGTTATTCAGTGTTTTTGCTCTTACTCTGGATCTCAGAGCTGTTTGGGGGAGGAGCTCTTGGCTCAGTGCCTGGCACATAGTGAGCCATGACTGTGACCCCCTGCTAGGTCCTTCAACAGGTGGCCAAATCCTACACAGAGAACCATTGCTCCTTTGTGCCAGAAGGCGCTATCCCAGCCAGCCAGTCAGGTCTGGGACCCTGTCAGAGACCTCACAATTAGTCTGTCTTCTGGAAAACAAGTTCTACCACGGTCCCAGGGGGGGAATTGAAAAACCAGCCCTGCAGGTTTCAATCTGAAAAGCATTAATGCTATAAAGTATTTCAGTTCTAACCAAGGAGAGTGCTAAAGCTGTGAGCGCCCAGCAGATGCGGGGATGGGGAATTGCCATCTCCACGGCCTTGACTGCAGACAATTGGTTCCCGTTCAAGAGGCAGCTGGCTACCCAGGTGAGAGGCAGATTTACAGCCTGGGAAGTGTGATGGGGTGCCTGGGAAAGAAATTAGCATCATCAAACAGGAGTAAGAGCTGGCATAGAGTGAGCTTCTGGTGCATGCCCAGAATCGAGTCAAAGAACAGTGGAAATCACAACAGCGACAAGTAACAGCTAGGGTGTGTTGAGCTCCCCTTTGTGGCAGCCACTGCCTAGGCACTTTCCAAATGTACTCTTCCAGTTAATTCTTACACCCACTGTGTGAGGCTGGCTTTCATCTTAGAGAGGAAGACCCCGGGGGTCAAGGCGGTGAACAGTGACTCTGAGGGCTGGAGAACTCTGATCTGCCCCCCACTCCAAAGGCTTCCTAATTACTTGGCAAATAAAGCCTGCATCAGACCATATTTGGTGAAGAGAAAACAGTGGAGCTTAGTGGTCGAGGCATCTTCTCTTTGCTTCCAGCAGTCTGCCACAGAGCTGGGGGAGAGAAAGAAGGATTGAGGTGGCTGGACACGTGCAGAATCATCTAAAGAATCCTAGCCCATCAGCTGTCTCATTTCATAAACTCCTGTCTGGGGTCTCAGACCTTTCAGGGACCTCGGCAGTCACCCAGGCCAACCCCTTTATCTGACAGATGAGGAAACTGAGGCCCAGAAGGGGAAAGTGACTCGTCAAAAGCCAGAAAGCAAATCAGCGGCAGGTGTAAGGCTGAAATGTTGTCTTTCTGTCCCTGGAACGGTACTCTTTCTACAGAAACCCCCTCCCTCCCACCTCCTGGCCCACCA